TGGACTCCGGCGGGAACCCCTGATCCAACATGGGCTACTAACCAACCAACTGCGTGCTTCAGCGCAGTGACTTGCGCTTGAACTAGTTTAAATCATTGTAGACTTGCACTGCAGCTATCGCGCTTTCTTGCCCCCTTTCTATCTGGGTCCCGTGTCCTGACCAACTCAAGAGGACTGGAGACGGGAGGACGCATAGCTTCGTCCACTTGGGTGCGATTAATGTTTTGACAGTCTGGTTCCTGTAAATGTAAGGATCGAGAATAGCGTGTCCATATACAGTAGGTTTACTGCCGAAAATTTTCAACATGATTTCATGATACGAAAAATTACTTAAGTAGGGTTGTACTTTTAATTATACAGCAGCATACCCCCAAAAAATTTCAGTCACGTCAGGATAACGGTTTTTGAAAGCTTCCTTTCGGATGCTTGAGCAAATTACACTCTGGAAAAGATGACTTCTTAAGTACTATGGGTTTTACTTAATGATGTTAGATGCGCCTATAAATTCTATTTTTTTTTATAGAAAACGTGCAGGAACTTATTCTTTTTGTACTCATTTGGTAGAAATTTGCGTCTTCTTGAAATTGTATACTTGGAAAAAGTGCTGTAGCGGTCATCAGGTCGAAAATCCCAAGTTATTGGTAAAAGGAAAAAAGCACCTATGGGAGGGATTTATTGTATACAGAACTCCCAGTTACTGTCTCAGATGGCAGTGGCCACTGGCGAAACCAGGGCCTGTGTTGACTGCGTCTAGTTAGGCCTGAGAGAGCGTGTGTTGTGTTGTGTGAGATATGTTGAGGACAGCTGCTGTGAAGCAAGTTCAAATGGTTTGTTTTTGGTGTGTTGCACTCACCCGAGAGGTGTCGAGTATTGAGGCCCCCTGCTGTGTGGTCGCAGCTGGGCATGTTCATGTGGCTCTTGAGAAACCAAGACTAGTTGGGCACGCGCGTGTGCGCGCCTGTGTGCGCACGTATGTGAGAGTGAATGTAGGTCAAGTGGTCTTCAGGTCAGCGAGTGGAAAAACAACCGCCCGCTAAGACAAATGACTTTAGGGGGCCCGGGCATTGGTATGGGGAACAGCCGTCCGCCACAGTGTGTCTTGCGATTTTAAAAACGGTGGTAATTATGAGATTTTTTAAGACCGTTTATAAAGCATTGCGTCAGTCAATTTATTGATGTAGCCTTTAAAGTCTACGGCATGGTCTCCAGCTACCACAAACTTTTACGAACACTATGTGATTTCTTCCTCATATTGGAGAGAAATGTGTGATTTCCTTTAGAGGGAAGGTTTACAGGCGTGCGGTCCTGAAATTCCTAAAAGCAAGTTTAACAGCAATTCGGGCTCGAGATTATTCGACACCTGAAAACTTTTTTTCAAAACCGAAACATGCCTCTTAGTCGAGTATACAATTGGAAAGAGGAGTCTATTTGCTACCAAATGCATGCATGCCTGCCTTCTGGAAGATAAATATGCATTTTTAAGGGCATCCAACATCGATTAAAAAATCTCATACTACTTAAGTAGCCACTGTCTATAGAGTGTAGTTTTTGCAGACGATCGGAATGAAGCTCTTTCGAGAGCCAACATCCTGAAGAGACTAAAATACCTTTAACTTAGGCTGCATGATAAATTATCTTACAATTCCACTTAATTAATTTGTTTTTCGAAACGAAAACACGTTTCGGCATTTAGGTTAATGATTAATGAGATGGAATATCTACTAGATGCTAAGCTATGAGTGCCCATAGCTATGAAATGGCCTGACTAAAAGAATCCGGAATGAACGTAAACGTTCCCGTAAATGAGCCTCGTCAAAGTGAAAGATATGGAAGCAGAAGAAGTATAGGCATTGCAGCAGATGATGACATACTGATTCCGGAGCCAGCGGCTAACGCCTGACAAGTAGCGCACTGGCTGCTCCGTGAAACGGCAATCTGCAAGGATAATGGCGCCCCAGTCATGGCGATGACGGATGCACCTTCCGAGAGCCTGATTCAAAGCTCGATAAGCCTGTGCCTCATACCACTCAGAGCCAGAGAGAACGCGTCGCATTTTAGGCGTCACCGAAGCGGTTCCGCGTTCTCCTGATGTGCTCAGCTCCGCTGTAGCTGTCACATTCGAGGAGGGGCTCGCGGCGATTGATGCATTAAACGCATTTGCACGGAGGGCATCGTTGAATCTGCGCTTCTGCTCCACCTAGGCGTTTCAAAAGGTAAATTTTAAAAACAAAATTAACCATTGATTTGACAAGACCGACGACTTTGTCCACGAGGTGCGGACCAATCAATTTAACTTCTTTTTTTCGATGAACAACTTCAGGTGGAAAGAAATGCAATTTTTCTCACTAAACAACGGCTATCTTTGTTATAAAATCAACACGGTTTTAAACTCCAGTATGTGCTAACGGCGTAAAAAATTTAAGTTGTAAACAAGAATCAAACAGGGACAATCTAGGATTATTATCCCAGCATACTACATAATGCAGTAAACTGAGAAATCAGGATGAAATTTTGGCCGCTAAAACCTGAAGTCGACATTCTAGTACGTTCAACGCTGCAAAATAAGGTTGTTCGCCCTAAATAAAAGCATTCCAAAACCATATAGAATACGGAGCTATCGAGATTGTATATCGACCATGATATAACACGGATGGCAATGCGCTACATTTTCGGAAGGATGCCTGTTGCCGTGTCCTGACCCTAACCTAGATCTGAATGGCAACTTTCTTCATATCTCCAACTATAACCCTGGACTCAAGTGCAAAGCTACCTGCCTTACGGGCGTTTCCTAGTCCTTTGTCCAGACAGGGGTCACACAAACAAACACTACCTTACTGCATATGTTAGAAGCAGAACCTGCTAATTACAGGGATGAATGCACGGGGTCCCACGATGAATAGCCACACACGAGTACGATAATAGGAATCATAGACACCCAGGTCAGACGAGTCAACACACGTCATAGAGAAGTGAGGTTCCCATTTTGGTTCAGGGCAAAAGCGAAGCAGCGAACGTTACACAAGGTGCATTCGACCGAAAAGGAGTAAATGTGTGTCCACTTTGAAAACGGACTAAAAATCGCTCGTTACTTCATGGTTTATTGGCGTAATGAACTGCGTTGTGGAATACTATGAGAAGATAGCCTGATCTATCAGTGCCGCCGAATTCGGCATCACGAGCAGATCTGATATCGTGGATTATATTACGAAATTTCACGACGATTATGAAAACCGGTGCGAAGCTAAGCATTTTCATAGCACTGTCGCAGCTAAAATAGAGTCCAAAGCAGCCGATAAGGTGGTTTGGAGGGGATTTTTGCAGATTTGCTTAATTTAATTCCCGCCGACGCCGCGAGTTTTTTTCACAATTTCGTTGTTAGACGAGTCGTCAGGCCGTTGGTTAGATTACTAAAACTGCCGGCAAAGAAATATGTAAACTGTTTTTCAGTTGCGAGGTAGTTTATTCACCGCACTGGTCAGCAGCTGACGTTGATGAGTACACGGGGATGTCGAAGGTGTTCGAACAGTAACCAGTTAGTCGTAAGAAAGCCGGCCGGTCAACAACTGGTCCCCACATAAGCAATACATACTTCCTAGGACGACAGCCACGCCGCGTCTGTTTGGGAGGCCACAATATATGATGCTGC